ATGTTGGTCCCGACTTTCTTCCTCTTCAACCTGAACCCCAGCTGGCTTGAAGCGAGCTGCGGCCACTTTGGCGGCAGATTTGGGCCTTGGCAAGGGTGCGGGCAGGTGTCAACGCGCGGGCACGTTCTGGAACGGGGCACCAAACACCAGAAGCCAGCTCCATGCGCCTTGAGCTGCAGCTTTGGTTGCGAGCCGGGAGCTTGGCAAGTAGGAAAATGACTAGCTGGCGGGCTGACTGAGGACAGTCGTAGTCTGGGACATATAGTAGTAATCGCGAAGCAGAATAGCGCTCGCAAGACGACAGTCTCTTGCAACCCTGCTTGTGTTTCCCAGCCCCGGCTGGACGGACAACAACGATCTGCGCATGGGCAATCAATACTGTAATAGTGTTGCCTCCAGAGGTTGAGCGGCTGTTGCGGATTGCGCGCGTTGCGTATGACTGGACGTGGCGCTTCAAATTTCAATCGCGCCATTTACAAAACCTACCGTGCGCAGCCAAACTATTTTGCCCAGCGCTTTGCTGGCCAGCGCGTAGCCAGAAACCTGGAGCGTGACGCGAGTCAATCGCCTGGACGCGCGCAGCCTACAAGGACCCACTTTAAAGGCACTAACAAACAACAACCCCAGTTGCATTTCACAACCCCGATTAGGAGGAAAACGGCTTGAACTCCAAAACCGTCATAGCTGGGCGGAAAGGGCGCTCAAAGATGTTGCGACCCTTGCATGGCTCTCTCAAGACCACCTGAATCAGCTCAATCTTCTCGCTGTCCAAGTCCCAAGAGTCGTTCAAGTAGCCCTGGTCGTGGCGGGCTTCATCATCGAAGAGCTGGATTCTCCACCACCTCTGGGTCACTCTCTTGGTTGACTTTGTCCTCTGCCTCCTGAGCCTCTTCCTCTGACTCCTCCTCCTGAGCCTCTTCCTCTGACTCCTCCTGAGCCTCTTCCCCTAGCCTCTTCCCCTGGCTCCTCCTGAGCCTCTTCCTCTGACTCCTCCTGAGCCTCTGTCGTCATTGGTGGGGCTGGCGCTTCTGGTGCACGAAGATGGCTCATTGTGCCATAGTTCTCCAGAAGCAACTTCCAATTCGTCAAGCAGTGGTTGACCATATCAGAGCGAGACAATCGCGAAGACAAGGTGTGGGCGCAATCTGAAACGAACTTCTGAAGCGTCTGCTTGTTGAGTCCGTCAAGGTCTCCAGCAGTGAGAGGATGGAAGCTCTTGCCCTCTGTGTTGATTGTGGCGCATCCCTTCACCTTGAAGATTTTGAAAGTGTGCGTGAAGTCATTGTGAACAAAGACCAGCGAAGCTGATGAAGCCATGAAGCTAAGTGAAGGATGTTGGGACAACACTTGGACAAAACAGATGCTACGGTAATTATGTGTTGTTCCAATCCAATGCATAAGCCATACCCACCAACTGCGTCCACTCAAGACACCGACACTAGATGGCGCACTCACAGCATCTTGTAGAGGAAGTTCACGAAGCGCGGTGCGGGTAGGCGGTTCCCAGAAAATCACCCTAAAATCCTACAAGGAGGACCACGCCCAAACAAATATATGATGAAGCTGATGAAACGAAGGAGGGAGTGATGTTGTTGCTGTTCTATTTTTTGTCCGGGAAATGGACAAATCGTTTTTAGACAGTTCGAATATTTTTTTGATGACAAATATTTTTTGCAATATATTTTGCAAAATTTTTTTTTGAAATGGATGAGGTGAGGAGATTGAGGAAATGACATTTTGGAGGGTAGTTGGTGAAATGAATGAGGCGAGGAGGAAGGAGAAAAGGATGGCGAAAATTTTGGAAAAATGATGATAAAAAACGGATGAGATGGACAGAAAGGAATGTAGAAAAATGATGAAAACAAATAAGGGTAGAAGATGGAAGATGAAAAAAAATGTAGGGTGGGGGGTATGTATGAAGCAATTTATTTGCGGGGCGTGGCCCTCCACTACTAAAACACCCTGTGTGATGGTCGAACACGCAATGTTGACCTCAGGGGGGGTATTCCGACAGGCTCCGCATGAGATGCAGGAAGATGGAGTGGACGCGCATCGTCACTCCACCTGCATCTCAGAGCCTGCACCTCTAAGCAACGCTCAAGTAAAAAAGCGCGTATCGAGTTTGCTCCGGTCGGTTGCTTTTTTCCCTGCATGTCCCTTTAGGCTTGAAGCAGTGACCAAGATTCTAACAAGCAGTTTTGCTTAGCTGGATTTGCTGCGCCAGGGGCATTCTGGGGCAAAAGCGCGAAGCATTGCTTATGTTTGCGCACCATTGCGTCATGAGTCACTAGAGATCACTTGAGTGAGCATGGGCATGTTTGCGCGCGCTTGTGTGTTTCAAGGGTACTCTCGCGAGTTGGCGCACACATATCCCTCGTGTGCCCTTCGCCAGGCGCAGTCCGCATCCGGCTGACGGCTTGCCCATGCCCTCGCCAGTTTTCGCCAGTGCAAGCGTGATTGTGTGTGCGAGTGTGTGAGTGACGGTACGAGTAGTATGCATCTGTAGTCATTAACAATGATTTACAATTCTTGACAAAGTTGTTTTTCAAGGCGTTTTGAGCTTTCATAAAGCCTGGAAATGTATTCTTTTTGGGGGGTAATTTTTGCCCTGGCATAGGGTATCTTGTGAACTTGCATCTTTGCCAGGCTACTGCTGGCTGTGGTCACTTGCAGTCTCCCTTTCGCAGTATCGCCCTTGTTGAGCAGTTTTTCCACTTGGATTTGCAAATGATTGGCGCAAAATGCAGTGCGACGTCTGAAATGTCATTAAGCAGATGGCGCAATAAGCCCTTTCCTCCACCCTGCTGGCAGCAGAGGAAAGGTGATGTCAAATATTTTTTGTTTTGACCCTTGACATACGCATGTGCACGCATTGAGCGCAGTTTCATCCAGACACGTTCGACGCATATTCAAACCCAGCAGCATGGTCACACAGATTCATTTTCTATAATTGGAGCTTGCCATAGAGCGGCAACCTGGGCGATTGGTAGCGTATCCATCACAACCTGGGGGGCAGTATGCTGGTTCCGCCTGCTGGACACCTGTTGCGCAAACTGCGCAGCCTTGGCCTGCACCTCCTGCACAGTTTGGGCAGCCTTTTGTTGTGGCTACCACACAATGCGGTGCAATTTCCACCGCAAACAGAGGCATATTCAGGAAGCCCTGCCACAACAGAGCCAGCACGGAAACGACAACTTGACAAAACATAATGTTTAGTTGATAAGGACGGACAGTTCAATCCCTTCTCAAGCTTCAGTCAGATCAGCGGTAGGAACTATGAAGGTATGATATCCCACATGTTTGACAGTGGTGGTTCTCGTACGCTCCGTGCAGTCCTTCGTCAAGACCAAGAGGAACGAAAGCGATTGGAGACATGCAAGGAAGCTGTCGCGCGCTTTCTGCGAGAAACAGTTTCTGAACACATTGGGGATGGCATGAGAACAAGGGGTGTCGGGGAGAAGGAAGCGGAAGTCGACACAGTCTTTGATAGTTCTGGAAAAATCGTGGGGCTAAGCACAGTCAAGGTCCGCGCTACGTGCGCAGACATTCAGAGAGTGCTAGTGGAAATTTGTTCCGACAGGCGCTTCTTGCAATGAAATTGTACCAGATTGAGATCCACAGCTGTTTTGTTGAACGCCAAGCGTTCTGAGCACGTGACGATGCACAACAATTGGCAGGCTTTGCGATCGTTGTCTACCGAGCAGCATTGCACGTCGAGACTGAAGTGCTGGCTCGGCGCCTTCACCTTAAAAATGTCTTGGGCTTGCTGGAGAGAGCCTGTTGTTGTTTGTTTGCCGTTTTCTGTTGTGTTCCGGTCTTGCTGTTGGTTTGGCGTTCTGTTTTTGATTCGGTTTGTTTGGCTGCGGTTTTCCTCTTAGTCTTTTTATGCAGTTTTTTGATGCTGGAACAGCGGATGATCGCGATTGGCTGCACGGATCAAACAAAGAACTGATGGAGCGGGCTGGAACTGTTCCGGGATGTGCTGCTCGGTTCTGGGAAGCTTTGATTTTCGTGGAATATCGTGGTGCTGGCTAAATGGTAGCCGCAGAAACCACTTTCTGGATCCACTCTTTGCAATGCTGGCTGTTGTTCACGAGAGTGGCAGCGTGCGAGTGCCTCCCCCCCGGAGAGTGCTTTCCAAGTTTGCCGGCCATAGGCGCGGAAACCTTGGCCCAAAGACATGAGCAGCGAAATCGAGGTCCATGGGGCCCAGAGTTGTGTGCGCTCATTTGATCGTTGTGCGTGTGAAGGAATTTCGTTTTCATTTGGTAGCCCCTTTTTCAGGGCTCTTGGGTTCTTGGTTTTGCAAACCTCCGGCTGCATCTGCTGCTCGAAGGGCATTGTCTCGAATGTGTGCCGTAGAATACTATGAAGAATTCAACATGTAAAAATAACCCGAATGCACGAAATGGCAAATAAGCATAAAGTTCGAACCTGTTTCGCTTCAGAAACATATTCTCATGTAAGAACGAGTTCAGGTCTTCCGTTGCTTGGTGTTTTACCTCGTCTATGCAATAGCGGTGGACCTGTCACATTGCATTGTGGCCGCTCACAGTTCAAAACTAACCAATTTGCTCCATGTCCGCACCCAAACCGGTATCAGCGTGAGGAGTGGCCAAGCATCTCGCACTTCCTCCGTTGGCTGAGCCCAACCACTTTGCTGCCAAGCGTCTCCGGCTGTGACCTCGCATTCCGCCGTCATGTGACATCGCATGTGCCTGGCCACGGCAATGTATTTGCAGACGATTTACCAAGGGTCCATATCTTATTGCTCGCTGCATCAGTTCTTGGCCTGCCAGGCCAGCACCATCTTGGCAGCACCTTCTTGGGTTGAAGGGCAGAGGTGGGACATGTACAAACATCGCCATTGGCTTTTCGGTTTGTGCCGGTGCAAAGGCAAAACTGGATCCCGGCACATGGGTAGGACCGCAGACGCGGCAAGTTTCATGTTGGCCTCCATGGTTCATCGTTTGGTTTCCCGCACTCAAAGCCGTCGCCGGGGCTCCAGGATGCCAGGATGCCAGCTTGAGTTGGCTGAGAGTTTGGCAGCAGAAGCTCAGCCTGGCGAAACATTTCTCTTCGCTAGTTGCCGATCAGACTCTCGCCATGCCGGGCGCGGCGTCCTTGCTACGGGCGTCTGGCTTAGAATGCGGGATGAGGGGCCCTACAATGAGATAGAGAGAGACGTCACAAAGTCTGCAACACCACAGCTTTAGCACGGAAATGGGTCTGGTTCTGGTGGTCGTGGTTGTGGTTGTGGCTGTGGTGTTGTCAGTGGGTGGTGGTGGTGGTGGCAGGGGTGGTGGTGGTGGTGGTGGTGGTGGTGGCAGTGGTGGTTGTTGCCGTCGTTGTCGTTGGTGGTGGTGGTGGCGGACATGTTCTTGCCACTTGGGTGCACTTGGCGGCTTTGAGCCTCGCTCTGAGGACAGTCACGCTTTAGCGGATGGCCATAGCGCAGAGGTGCGATTTCAACTTTGGGTGGTTCAAGCGTTCGCGGTTTTTCGTTTCCCTCCCCCACCAGGTTGTCTAGTTGCCTGGCACTTTTGGGCGAGTCCGAAGACAGTCGAACATGGACCAGCTTTCGTGTGAAACCGACCAGCAAGAGTGATCCGCCCAGGAAATGGTCCACAAATCGGACATAAGTTCCCTTTGCATGGGGCTTCAAGGGCGAAGAAGAGGACGGCCAAAAGTCATTGGCGTGGGGTCCCGTTCGAGTTGACTGTGCACCTGCTGGCTTGCAAAGTGCCTTCCAAAGCTTCTAGGCATCTTTGGCTGGAGGCAAACATGGGTATGAGTTTTAAGTGGTGGCCCCTTTTGTAGACTTCATGTAGGTGTGGATGTATATCCACCAACCATTTGGGAGGGTGTTTCCCTTGACAAATCACATGTTGGCCATCGTTTTTGACACCTCCCAAAAACTTGGAGAATCAAAGGACAGCTGGCCCCCCGGTTCCCTCTCTATTTGTTTCGCGTCGTCCCTCGAGGGCATTTCTACACCTTCTCTCAGACGCAATTTCTGAAATCTCTTGCGCTGGGGATCTCAGGGGTGTCCTTAAGATTTGCAACTCAGAAGTCTTTTGGCCGTTGCACGATGCGCTGCCCTCTGGGCTTGAGAAGCCACAAAGTCGCAGCCTTCGACCGCCTTCCTCGGGCTCAAGCGGGCGTGTCGCGAACCGCCGCGCTGGACAAGTTTTTTTTTCCATATCCTCAACGAACTGAACGAATTCGCGCCGGTGCCTCGCCAACTGGAGGTCTGTTGCCAGGGATAGGGGCTCTAGACAGCTAATGTAAAGGTGACCATGACTCACAGAGCTCCTTTTTTATTTAGGGACTCCCGCCTTATGAATCCGCAAGGTTCATCCACATTCAACCAGAAGCCTTGAACCTTTGCCGTGACCGCATTTTATTGTCGGCGAACGACCAAACAACACCACCATCCAAGTTTTTTTTTTTTTGAACCATAGCGATGCGGGAGTAACACGCTAAACCTTTTGCAGTGGGGTCAAGACAAACGCAGATAGGACTTCAACGAAGAGTTGAACCCCTTGTTTTTGTTTCTTTACATCTTGGCCACCAAGATAACTTTGGTATGTGCACCGTTCGGGGTTTGTGTACACGCGATGTGAAAGAGATACACACACACACACAATGGGCGCTTGGTTGAGTTCAAAATTCTCATTCTTTTACGCATCATTCTTTAGGGCAACAACCAATTCTCAGAGTTTGGTCGACATCGGAAGAAAGGGAGAAGGAGGAGTCTTCCTAAAAAGATTGGATGGTTGTCCTGTGTTGTTTTGGACTTCTCCAGGCTTTTCAGTTTGCTTCGTTCAATTCATGACTTTCTCATGCGGTTTGGAGTGCGTGGTTTCTCATTCTAGTTTTCCAAACCTCAATGCAAACAATCAAGAAGGGTGTTCCAACCATCAGACTCATCGCCAATTCGGTTTGCGCTGACCAAGTGGTTGGGGTGTGGTTTTGTCTCAACATGCGACTCGTAAAGGAGGCCCTTTGCCCAGGGTGCCCTTGCCCGTTTGCCGAATTGTAAGCAATGGTTGAGCCATTCCCATGTGGCCATGGTTCAAAACCAATGGTACCATTTTGGGATAGGTGCATCACCTATTTTAGTCTATTTTGGTGGGGACACTGGGGGTACAGGATTTTGACCCATGGCCATGTGATCAGGAGGGCACCCTTGATGGACACTCAAGCGAAGCTCAAGCTGAGTCCTCCAAGCATATGATGAGCGACCATGTCTGGGGATGCAATGTCAGGATGACCGACCAAATAAAGTTTTTTCACGCCACAACTGCGCTTGGCAGCTGAGGATCAGATTGGAAGGGTAGGTTGAGGGGAAACAGCCCCTGCTGACTTTGAGAACCTGCATTGGCGCCTCAGGCTTTATGGTGATCTATGGCAGCCTGGATGGCGCGGGCGGCCCGCCCACGCCTTTTGCCTTGCGAGTGAGGCGCATACGCGAAGCCCCGGTTTCGTGCGCCGCCGGTCTGCGAAGTGTTGAGCAGGGCGGTTTTTGGAAGACAACTTGATCGGGCATATAAATTAACTCAGCAGATGCAGGGAGCCTCATTTCCTAACCACTTGAAGGGGCCCAATGAATCGGATTCTTTGATTTGACCTAGCTCGTCCAGGAAGCTTCCTTTGTGTGCTGAACCCTTAGTATTTTTTTCGGCTAATCACACGGGTGCCCCCTGGTATCTATATATACATCCGGCGAGGGAGGCTTAGAGCGGGCCCACAAATTATCCTTCCGAGAGGCTTCGAGCGGGCCCATGCATTTCCCATTGATTCTCAAAGCCCTTCGACGAAACTCTCTCTCTCTCTCTCTCTCTCTCTCTCTCTCTCTCTCTCTCTCTCTCTCTCTCTCTCTGTCGCTCTCTCTCTCTCCCTCTTTCTTTTTGCCGGACACCAAGTTTTGGCACGTATTTTTTTGGTTTCCACTTTGCGGGGGCCCTGAATTCAGACTATCCACACGTTCGGTTGCAAGGGCCATTTGCCCTCAGGAAGGCAGGGACGCGTTCAATTCCCCAACTAATCTCTCTTAGAGGAAAATGGTCTTCCAGGGGTCACTTCAGGTGCCATCTTTTCTTTTTTGGAAGCACTTACTATCCCCTGCCCCATTCCTTGACCTAAATCTGGGGTCCGCAAAACAACAATGCTTCAGATTCCGGTACATTAGCCTCCCTTTTAAAAAAGGCTGTGGAGGAGAACCCACATCGCCCCTGGCCCTGAAGCGCAGTAGTTCGGGAGCCACACAACTCAGAAATTGGTCGCTCTCGAACGCAGTCCCTCCACCTAAACGTGAAACACCTGCCCATAAGCGTGTCTTCGAACCAATGCACAGCTCATGCAATGGTCCCGTCCCTCGCAACGAAAGCCAGAACAGCGACTAAAACTTGCGAGTCTTATACACCTTCCCACCTTGTGCCTACTGGTTGTGACACACATCGCGGACTATCTTTGTGGCCTCTGAAGCGACAAACGCGATATCGCGACATAAAGATTCGACGCCAAAGCGACAAACACGACGCTCCCCGACCAAGACTCGACTCGCGTCGCTTTGGCTGGATCCAGTATTGTTGGCTCTTATGAAAGCCACCTTCGTTGGCAGGGAACCACCCCCAGTTGCTGACTTTGTCCCCACAAAAACCAGTCAAAGCCATAACGGTATGTTTTTTAGCCGGGGCCAGAATGGCATCGGTTTGCATTTTGGTTCCCTTAAGATTAGCAAGCCAAAAGAACAAAGGGGTGCGGATCCTCAAACTTAGACATGGGGGTTAATCAAAAGGCCTTTACATGTGACGACCATTGGTGGGAAACCCACTGCAAAGATCATAATATGATATTTTCAGCCACGTGAGAAAGCTTACCTATGGTCAAAACCGGGGGCCTTGTCGGGAATATTGATCAACCCCATGTGCTAACAGTCACAGGCCTGATCAATTTTCAAGTCACCGAGAGATTGGAGCTCACCTCCAGCCCCCACATCCCCCGAGCCTCAAAAAACGGGCATCCCACTGCAATGATATTTGTCCACCTGGGAAAACTTACATCTTAAACCCGGGGGCCCGGTGGGAATATGGCTGTGGGTCAAAAATGGTACTTGTTGGGGTAGGTGAATTCACCACCCATTTGAGAATCTATTTTAGTGGTTGGATTGGGATGTTCACTGGTACGATTTGGCTTTGGACCCATGGCCACATCTGATGCCACCGTTGTCATCCAAGATGTAATTCCAACCTGAGAGGCCGTGGCTGATTCTGGTCTTCGGTCTGCTGGGCTGTGTGGCGCTGGCGCGGCTCGCCATGCTGGACGTGACCGGGGGCCTCTTCCTGGTGCTGGCGGCCGGGGGCCTCAACTGCGCTTGGGGTCTTGCCGGGTTTGGCCAGGTATTTTCGGGATCTCGGGCTTAGGAGTTGAGAACAGCCGGGCTCAAAAGCTGGCTTCTTGTTTCTTCCTTTTGAAAAGAAGTTTTGTTGGAATTCGCTTTCTTTCGGGCTCCTTGATATGCCGCAAAGGGCGCAAAAGCAACCCCTCGGAAAACCTCCTATTGGTTTACTTTTTCTTTTTCGGGATTCTCCCACTTGTTCATTGGCTAAGTGAAATCAAAAAGGAAGCTGATACTATTTTGAAGTCCCATATTTTCGAGGCAAACCCACGTGCGGTTGAGCTCACGCCTGGGTAATTGAAGGTTGGCAGTCATCGCTGAGAAGTGGTACGACAAAAACCACTCCTTTCACAAAAGTTTTCTTTTTTCCCGCTACATTTCCCTTCAGGAGTTCTGTCCTTTCTTTCCCGTCCGGAGGCCCAAAGGTAACCCCTCCAAGTAGGGAGATATCTTAGGGTGGCCAGAAAAGGAGGGTTTACCTTGGAACTCTCTCAATATTTTGAGCCAATTTCAAATGAAGAACTCTTTCAACAAGTTGTGAAGGCCCACTCCCTCGCCCCTGAGAGAAGTGCACACAGAGACGCGCGGGAACTATGAATTTTGGCTCTGCCCTACACTGAATAGTCATCTACAAAAAAAATAAGCGCGAAGGGTACCTCTCCAAGATCAACCAGGTTTTGAGCAATCCCTGATTTATTAGCGCCGAGCGCGAACATACCCTTCACCTAAAAGAGGCTCACTTTCAGGGGGGTCTCTCAAAGACGCGCTGATTGAAACCCGCGTGGACTTTTCACCCAACGGTTCTATCGGGTTTGAACGGCGGCGCTGAGGTGCTCATTGGCTACCTGGCAGTCAGGCTGCTTGGCCGGTGGAAGCCAAGGGAAAGCGCCGGAGACTTTTGCGCAGCCAAAAGAAGCCAACAAGACTTGGGCGTAGAAGGAAACCAAGAGAGGGGAGAGAGGGTTGAAACAAGACACCCAGAAATGGTTTAGACCAAGGGAAGCCAAAAGGAGGCTGACAGAGGGCAATCGGAAGGAGGTTGTTGAAACAAAGGAAA